TTCCACCTCCAATAACCATCTCAACCCAATGGATAATGTGATTTAGCATTAGGTTACTGTTTAGCTTTTTTAGTCCATACTAATTAAGCTTTTATCTTTTTTATTGTGGCATATTCGCTGAGGTGTGTTTCTCACTTTCAGGTAACGTGTATTGGTGATGATGAGGAAAAAGCGTTGCTTATGAGATGGGCACACGTATGCTTGGACAACAAATTATGGATTGGGATGGATCTTAGTTTTAGTTGATTAAGTAACATGGAGAATCTCGTGCAAGGGAGACCGTATCTTTTGCAACTAGGCATTGGAGTATATAAATTTTGTAACTTGACCCAGCAACGAAACTTTCTGCATTATAATCAGCTTTCGAGGTGTAGTAAATGGTTCATAATTCGAGTAAGCGGGTTTAGGTGTGAATATTATATATGTATGTAGGTATATGGGGTGTGTGGGTGGAGTTGTGGGTGGTGCAGCGCAAACCATCCATTGTCCCTCTGTAGGCGCAGGCGTCCTGTGGCTGGCCATAGTGACAGGCAAATCCGGAACCGGATGTCGCCAACCATGCTGAGGTTGATGTTGCATTCCTGATGCTTCTTCGCCACAGTTGGGCTAAAGCAACTTACACTTAAACTAGGTCTTTTTAAGCTGGATAAATTTCATTCCACTTTAATGGGTTTGTTCTACCTACCTGAATAACCTGGTAACTTACACACGTTGATTACATTATTTGCCCTTATCTTCGGTAACTTTATAGCGTCTGTAGCATTTTTAACTAACTTGTGGACATTTCTTACTTATCGCGGATTCGTTGCTAACCACGTACTTCGTACGCTAATTTTGCGAAGTATGTCACAGTATCTCTATGCATTATTCGATTTCGTTTATTTCATCTGGTCGTTTCAAGTGACTGGCTGTTGTTTGATATCCCTGGTGTTGCTGAGCTCGATGTGTATGTTGACAAGATGCCTACCTGTCTATTACTCACTACCTCGTACGTACTGGCTCCAGGAGACAGTTGGTTGTTGCTGGCGGGTACGGGGTGCACGGTCCTTGTAGCCGTGTTAGGCTCAAAGAGCGGTTACATACACTCAGTCTGGAGCGGACTACGGTCCAGCCACCGCCTTGTGTGCGCCTGATTCCCCAAATACAGTTTGCTTGTGTTTGCTTGTGAATGAGTGTGGGCCGGCTCCGTTGATGAAATATGGCTCCCATCCACATGCCTCCCGGTCTTATTCCTTCGGGTTTACACAAGAAATGGGGTGTGTGGATGGAGTTGTGGGTGGTGCAGCGCTAATCATCCATGGTCCCTCTGTAGGCGCAGATATCCTGTAACTGACCACAATGACAGGCAAATCGGAAACCGCATGCAGCCAACCATGCCCTAGTCTCTTACACTGGTCAACGAGTTTCTGGTAACGATCTGTCATATGCAGCGAAAACAGTACATAATTTTACTTGGAAGCATTCAGCGTTAAGCCGCGGGAGTTTGACAATGCACGATTTTATGCAAACAACATTGTAGCATGGTCGAAGAGGCTGAAGATAGATGTGTCGCGCCTATTAGTACGTCATCGGCGTAAATTAGCATTATGGCTTCTTCAGAGACAGGGATGGAGCCAACGTAGTTAGAGAATAATAATGGCGACAAAATGGATCCTTGAAATACACCGGAATTAGTGGTAATAGGTAAGGCGCTCCTGTTCTTGAATCTGGCTATCTGAGTACGTATACCAAAATAATCCTGTTGCAAGAAGGCTAAGGATGGTTGGATACCAGAAGCCAAGAGATCTTGCAACAAGACTTCACGTTTAACACAACCGAAGGCGTTGGTTTAGTCAAGGAAGCATACGTGTGGCTTTGTTTTTGCTGTCTAGCGACGATAGCACTGAGTGCACTAGACAAGCTACTGCGTCTTGTGTCTACCTCGAACTCCAGTATGCAAATTGATGTGCGTCATTCAGGCAGGATTGGGTTAGCAATTTTTCAAGAATGAATTTCTTGAAGACCTTTAAAGCCTTCAAAGTGCACGCAATAGATCGTTATTTACTTGTCGTTTTATTCGGAATTGGTGTCATCCTCGAAGTTCTCCAACAGTCTGTGATCTTGCCTTGGTTTAGGCACATGGTGGACAACTCAGGTAGCGGTTGGGCTAGTGAATCTGCATACTCCTTAAGGACGAAGGGAGACGAGCGTTCAGCCTCGCTTGATTTGCTTGAGTTTAGCTTGGTATGCTTCCTGTGAAGTGCTGCAACATCAACAACAAACAGTAAGTCTGTAGGCCACTGAATCCGTGCAGATGAGGAGTTGGGGAATGAGTCAGTGCTAGAATAGCAGAAGTTACGCTTGAATTCCTCTACCTCTATGTCAGAGTTCGTACTATGACGACAGACTGCACCAAAAGGTTTCATCAGCTGCCATATATCAAGGTAATTCTTGTTCAGCAGGATTGTCTGGACGTAGGCATGATTGAGTGGTGAATTTCTTCCCTAACTCTTAGAGAAAGAAGCCTTACTGAGGCACGATCTTTAAATTTGTAGGCCTCCCCTTATGTCGACTCAGCAGTTTGAGGATTGATGAGGAGAACCGGTCAACACGACTGAGAATAGTTCACATCGGACAGCAGAGATCAAAGCAGAAGTTCAGACAACTTGTCCTTCGGTCGCAATATCTTGAGACATCTGCATCGAAAAATGAACTGAAATTTGTAGAGGCAACCATTTCTTTCAGTTTAGCCATGTCTGGGGTCTGGGTTTGTCTCTGTTTAATTTCACGTTCTTTGCAGCGAGTGACGTCCTTGTGTTTCGTCTTACTGTAGACGACACGAGATAGTTTGGCTATCGAATGACCAGAGCTTGCAAGCGGTGTCCGAGCTCTGATTGAAAATATCTTCATGTTTTCAGAAGATTTTGAATACAAATCGGTTTTTGGTAGGGTTTTACTGTGGCCACAGTAAAACCCTACCAAAAACCGATTTGTATTCAAAATCTTCTGAAATCAAGAAATCTCAGTCGGTTCCAAACATATTCCGAGATATCTTCATGTTGTTAACAAACACTAAACCCAAGGTTGCTTCTAACCTGATGGGACATTTCACGATGTTCCGTAGTCTAAGTGTCGTGAGGAATGTGGTATCAAACCTATTGAAATCCCCAGCAAATATGCATAGGGAATGGTCGATATGCAAAATGAGAGCATCTGTGAACTCATTGTAAAATTTGTCTGCTTCTTAGCTTGGACAACTGGGAGATATATAGATGTTGGCTAACAAGATTGAGCTGTATCCACCCAGATATTTTGGCGTGCACTTTAACACTAGGCAGTCGATAGGTTGCGACGAATAGCAGGACAATTTCTTCACTGATGAGTCCCAGGAAGCGTTTAGAAAAGTGATACCACCACCATCTCGATTGCGGAAGATGCGTGGGCGATCAGCATAGTGGAAAATAAAACAGGAAACTGCTACAATAGCGTCTTCAATGTCATTGTGAAATCAGCTTTCCTGTAGCATAGTTACTGCTAGCTGCACTCATTCGCGACAGCAAATTTAACTTTTTAGGTCTTTCTTTTTTCCAAGAAGTAGGCGGACGTTAGTGCTGAGAAAAACAGGTATGCGCATACTTGACAAATATTTCTTCCGCAGAGCAACCTCCATCGAGCACGATGCTTATTTGCAAATTTATTACATATTTTTGTAGATTTTTCTCAATTAGCTTCGGATAAATCTAAATGTGTATATCGCTTGCGAGTAAATGCAGAACGGGTACAAAAGTTCATGAGTGCAAATAATCAGGTCACTGCTCTATCTACTGGAGCAGTATGTGAGGAAAACAATAGGTATATAAATGGTATCGTTTAAGGCGCGAGTGCTGGTTCACTGCTGAACCACGGCAGGACAGCAGATTGCCATTATTTTGTACTGAATCACAGGAATACCGACAGAACATGTAAACTTGCATATATCGGAAGAAGACACAAATGGAGTAAGTAATGCACTACCACAGTTACTACCTGATGAGTCACAAAGATATTCGTACCAAACACCCTGTAGTGCAATGAGAAGGTGGATACCCTAAAGAGAGGAACACCTCAGCAGTTGCAAGAGTAAAATATAATAATGGATGGCTTCAGTGCACGAAGTAATTTGCTGAAACAACAGCGCAACTACTACCGGCACACAGAATATCTATGGCGCATAAACCGACTGCTACCCTAATAGCGCCACTTGTAAGGTCGAAGGATAAACTCAACTTTGCCGCACAAACCCATGTTATCTGCCGAACAAACTGCAGCGGCTGCGATACGCACTAAACTAGACAAACAGGACGAAAATTTCACTCAACCTTTTCACTGCCTAAGAAGGCAATGAAAAGACAAGGCCCATATACTTTAATTTCTTTAGACAAGGATAATCCCAAAGAGGTTAAGATCGTGCCAAGTAGGGATACGAAACAGAGAAGAGAATTTTTAAAATTATCACACTCTATGAACAACTCATTTCATTTAAATATTGAGTTGGACACCGTCTACGCAAAGCTAAGAGCAAAGAAATACAACCGCAGTGGAATACCCACAATGGAAAGGAACACTATACGAGCAGCCCAGACAACGTTTTCGGCTGCGGACACGAGGCGTTGGTCAAATAGACATCTTTTCAGCGATCATCTAACTAAACGACCAATGAGGAGGACCAATAAAACGCACCTACTGGACCACCGGTTCGCATTAACATACGCACCGCTCCGCTTTACAACACACTGACTCACCATAGATGTCACCTCGACTGAAGACAAAACCATTGCAACAAAATGCCAAACTCATTGAATAGTTCGTTTAAAAAGTAAACAACCCAAGTTAATTGCTTTTTCCTTTAAGCGTATTCTTAATTCGTTGAGTTCACTGAGTTCATTGAGCCACTTAATGAATGCGATATGTATACCTCAGACGTATTTAGTGAAGGATTTTAGCCAGAATGAGAGACATACTCCATTCGTCACGTCACTTACTTGCGGCCGTGGCTTGATGTCATCTTGACCGTAATTCTTTGGAATGACATCTGAGGATGAGGGATCGGTCTGATTGTACTTCAAAGGTTGTTGTATGTCTAAGACGGTTGTGGAAGTTTCCATCTGATGTGGCACTAGATTGTGCCGCTGAACAGAATCATATTCATGGACTGGATTTCGTGAAGGAGATAAACTGGCTGGAACCGTCAGCTTAGGCAAAAGCAGTTGACCGTTTGGAGAGAGCAGACTCAGTTGAAGTAGGTCACCTTGAGGGTAAGGAAGGTAGTGCTATTTATAACCAGAACAAGTGCGGCGCAAGTTCACATTCTCAAATATATGGTAAAGATTACTGTTAACAAAAGCAATTATGGTACCATATCTACTTTGTTTTATCGTTTGGAATGCAACGGAAGTCAACGAAATATCTTAAAGTTGCTATGGGTCCAAATTAAATGTAATGTAGATAGGATTAGTTGTGGCCGGAGACCTTAGAGATCCACAGGTTAGCTGAAAATATTCAAGGTAAGAGGATTACTTACACATCAAGATACAAAGTTTAACAAATATGCTTTCAAACCATTGTATTGATTTGGAAAAAGGAATTTGAACCCGATGGCTGGTCGCGCTTCCTCTTAAATTAGTAAATAAAGGTTTTTCATTCTCAATTTGCATAACGTAATCCTGGTCAGAGATGTTTAGTTTATTACAATATTTTATAACAGTAGATAACATATTGATCTATAGCGCTCATTTACCGCAAGGCTGACTTGCGGAACAACATCCTTGCGATGTAACTTGGTTGGTTTTGGCTTGCCCCATAAAATTTAATCGTTCTGCGACACTGTTCTATGAAATAATGAATTTTTGTCTGACACGCCTTGCCCCTATAAAAAGCCGCAGCTCTTCGTTTAACAACACTGTACGTAGATGGATGTGACTAGTTGCTAAATAAAATCCCATTTCATTGCTTCCCACTGGTGCACCCACCTATCCCAGCGACGTGATGCTCTAAGTGTTGATAGGATAGGGCCCTTATTTGTAACCGATCAAACAAAAAACGCACCAAACGTACATTCGGTCTGCAACCTTCAGTATTTGCTTTCTCCTTAATTCTTTCACCTGCCTTGAGATTAGGTTAGTTAGCCAAAGGCTCGGTGTCTTACGCTCTAAGTCAACTATCTTTTTCGGTCTGCGCAACCGGAAGGAAGCATGAATTGCTCTTTATTTTATTCGAGTTTTGTCATAAATGGAGATTCCTTCGTATTCCTTTTTTCGATGGATCCACATGTGTCTGTAGTCGGTTTAGAACTATAAATGCATAAAATAGATAAGGTAGTTCTTTAACAACCAGTCATATAATGTACTGATACGCGCTGATACGGTATTTGTGTCCAGATTTAGTCAATTCTTTATCCTTGTCTAGCACAAAAGTACATCAATTCGTTCCTTATAGAACTATCAGATGAAAGCGCTAACTAACGAGTTGAGTTAACGGAGTTTAAATCATTCTTCAAGAAAGGTGTTATGGAAACAGCAAAATATTTCTGGTAACTAACTTTACATCGTTAATATTGCATCGAAAGCAACAATTACACGTAGTATATAACCTTTCTACATTAGGTCAAGTATGCATGAAAATACATATCTAGCAGCCTGAGAGGATATTGCAAAATAGTTACAGGCCTGTTTGATCTTCAATGATACCCCATTAATTTTTCAATTTGGAAAACTGAGCATACGCTACAAATAAGCTGCATACTCCACGGTGATAAACTGGCGTCGACTTGCGACGAAATGTTTTCAGTAATGTTTCCCAACTCCGCGTATCCACAGAAACCTTGTATACCCGTTTGTTTTTACTATTTATTGTCTATTTACTCAAACAAATGATCATCATAATGAAGAAGAGCTGGATTATAAGCTTTCACTGAATCTACCCCACTCCTCTGCATCAACCAGTTTGTCTTTTAGCTAATACTGTGCCAAAATTTAACGGCGGTTAACATAGAGTTATGTTATCTGGTACGGAAAATTGAACAAGTTCCACTTGATGTCTATTTTTCCCAATCTTCCCTTTCCTGTTTGGTCGGCTAATCCAGCAAAAAGTCTAAGACGACTAAACAGTGCAAATCAGGACCTTCGCACACAATCCAAAAATAACCTGTCATCTTTCTCATCTAAGTCTGAAGAGCAGCAATGCAGATCAATTATGTGTCTTTGTTTTGTACGAGCAGGTTTCAAGATAGGATGGTGTCTAGGAAAACTTATTGCCTAAGCCGTGGGTAAAAGACCATTATTCTGAAAAAATTTTAATATTTCCTTATCCTTATGTAATTGTCTGCAGTCTCTTACACGGCGCAAGTGATGCTTTGTCTCGTTGTTCACAAATAATTCTGAGAGCATCCTGGAAAATCCGTCAATTTCATTGATGTATGGAAGCTTGATTGCACCCCAGAAAAAATGAGGCTAAACGTGGATGACTATATTTCTGCCCTGAGCTACTAATTTCGCATGTGTCAACCCAAGTATAGCAAAGGTTATATAGAGCTCTGAGTTCGAAAGTCAACTCCTGTAACATTATTAACCTGGTTACTTAGTAGCAAGGACAATCTGTAAACAGCCTTCACAAGTGTTCAAAATATGACCATAAATAAAAGGTTGTTTTCCTGTAAAGAAAAATACCTACGACCCGTTATCACATAAGCATAAAAATTACGACCGTAATTAACTTGCATCTTAGCAGGTACTTACAGAAATACAGTGATATCCATTCTATATAAACACGAAAATAGAGGCCGTTAAGATTTGTCTTGTCGCTTTTATGTTTTTAAAATTTCTAGGCGCAGTTCGCTAGTTCTGTAGATAACATATCGCCATGATTTATGCAATATCCGATAGAGCAAATCTTTGAACTCCTCAGCCCTCTCATTTTATCGCATTAACATAAGCTGCATATATAGGAATATAAGTATATATAGCGTAATGTTATAACATACGCAAGTCGTTGTTCAAGTCCTTGGTATGCACTATCTCTGTTGCAATCACCTTTAAGAAAACTGCCAACAACCACTGGGCAAAAAATTAGTGAAATCTGATGATAGCTTACTCAAGTGTTGCTGTGTAACATAGTTTACTGTGGCGTAGTGGAATATGGCGTTGACTGGTTTGCAAACCACTGGTTAGCATGGTTCCGGATCCTGATGAATCCGATAGACAAGCATTATTTATGACACCAAACAAGCTGAAACTACAGTGTAGTGCCTTTCCGGGTAGGTGGACGACTAGCTGATTTGGGATTAAGCGCGACAAACTCACGGTTAATTACATCAAAATCCACTACAAGTTAGTATCACAAAAGCTCCTCCCTCACATCTTCTTAACACCGTATATTAAATAACGTAGAGCCTTTCAAGTCCAACCCTGTAATTTGTAACCTCCCTAACTTGCATGGCGGTGGAGGATAAGACGCGCGATATCGCAGTTGGACTTATACATTATGGCGGTCCGAAGCTGTCCCCCGTGGTCCAGTGGCCTAAGCTGCTGCCTGGCGGTGCAAGCTGTTGGTGGTCATTGGTTCTGATCCTGGTGGTTCCGATGGATGTGCATTACTGATGATGCCCAGCAGGCTGAAGCTGCTGTCTAGTGCTTTTCCGGGCCTGTGAACGACTATCTGATTTGGAACTGGCCGCGACAAACCCTTACTTAATTTTAACAAAATCCCTTACTCATGACTACATAAAAATAGACCCGCCTTGACAGTTTCTAAGTGCTATGTCGTACGTCGCTGATGTCAGTGGACGTCGTGTTTCTCGGGGCCAACCCTGCCCTCTGCAATGTTCGTAACTCGTATAACAGTTGGGGATAAGACGCGCTATATCGCAGTTTGCTTGCAAAGCATGACAGTCCGAAAATATCCCTTGTGGTTCAGTGGCATAAGCTGCTGACTAACGGTGCAAACCGCTGGTGGTCATGGGTTCGAATCCCGGTGGATCCGATGGATGTGCACTACTGAGGATGAGTAACAGGTCGAACTGTAGTCTAATGCGTATGTGGGCATATAGAGTACCATCTGATTTGAAAGTCCTGCGACGAGCTCTCAGTTATTAGTCTTAATTGTCTACCACCAACCCTTGCATTTGCGACGAATAGTGTACTTTTATTTGTCCATATGCTGCATAAACATGCTATCTACTTTACTAGACTGCCATTCAAATCTATTGCACATGAAAGCGTAACAGCCATTCGTTTTAAGGTGGAGTGTAGCACCTATCCTCCTGGAAATCAAGATCACGTGAAGCATGTACTGAACTTGAGACAAAGACAACCAATACAATTCATAACCATGTTCATTAAAAAGCAGGATACCACTTGCACAATAATCATCTGCGTCAATTCCGTTTTGCACGTTTAAAATCTTACCCATTAGGAACACCATCATAAAACTACTGTGTGCTGGGAACAGCCATACAAAATGCTATTTAGCCTGTTTAGTAACTGTATAGGATTTTAGAGAGAAAAGTGGTTTGAAAGCCAAGTTTAAGATGACTAATATTTCAAGGGTGTCAGTTTTTGTGCAACACTACTAGAAACAAACAACAAAAATAAAGCAACCTGGATTTGGTGCTTCATGTGCATCCCATGATCATTAATGCACAACTTGTACAACTTGCACCAATACCTGTAATATCAAACCTATGTGTTCTCCACTTTAAGATTTCGGGGACGATAGTCAGATTACACAGTTAATAGTCAAAATGATTACTGGAAGTCTTCGAGCACCCACTAGTAAAGCAGTGTAATATACCCAAGATTGATCATGCTATACCCGTTGCCCGTAGTTACCCGTGCTGGCTCATTTGTTGAGCATAATATGCACTTCATACTGAACCAATGTGGTGTGGAGACAGAGCACAGCGATTTCCTTTCGGTGCGAAGGATAATTTGTGTGTCGATATGTGCAGATAAATTGTTTATGAGCCTAAACTAGTCCATGACGTTTGATTGCAAAACTATTACTCAGGTGCCGGTACGCAGGTTGTAATCAAAACTAATACACTTATCCTATAGCTGCTTTCATGAGAACCACTTTGCGTTAGATGAATGAGGTTCACTCAGATACTGGC